ATATGTTATCATTTTATTATTAGATATGTTATCATTTTATTAGATTTCCTAACAATAGTTTCCTTATATACAAAGTTAAACTACTTACAAGCTAAACATTTATATTGAGTTTTAAATTTTTGATGACTTTACTCCCTAGATATGAATAAATTATAAATATACCATAATGTCAGCCAAGAAATGCAATATAAAAAGTTTAATGAGAACATAAATAAATATGCTGTTTATCTTAACTTTTTTTCTTAGACACATTCTTCTTTTGCATTCAAATTATGGATACTTACCCATTGCTATTCTCTCTTTACAATTTTTATGCTGTGTCAATCATTCCTTGTATTCAGTTGGTCAGTAAAACCAACTGACCCTTTCTTTGAGATCGCAATTCATCAATTTCTTTGCCATTCTTAATGTCATACCTTAAAATCACGTCTAAGTACCTGATAACTAAAATTGCATTTCAGCTTGACTTCCCATCTTTAGTCAATTAATAAACTTCCTGAAACTCATATATTCAAGAATATATCTGTGGTTTCCCAAGTGGAGTGTGTACTTCTCTGCCTAGTATCAAGGTCTATATAATCAGGACCTAACCAGTATTTTCTATTTCTCTCCAATGAAAACACTCTACAATTCAAGTTAAAAGATATCTTTTAAATGCCTTATGTGGACCTTTTTGAAATAATCAGAAATTTTAACAGGAACTAGATATTATTACAGTAAGGGATTATTATTAATTTTGTTAGTGTGTTCAAAGTATGGTGGCTATATATTTAAGGGAAAAGGGTCCCTATAAGTTAGAGAAGTACATGAACTATTTGTGAGTGGACAAAAGACTGATCAAGCCTGATGCTACTGTGGCCACCAGGTGAGTAGCAAGTGGAACAAACACAATTACTCATCATTTGAGTGTGACTATCCTCTCCCATTGAGTGATTTTTCAAGGCTCCCGCAAGAACTGAGATGCTTATAATAAATTGTTTTTCAGTTCCTTCCTCCCCTAAGCTGTATATTCCTACCCCATCTTTGAATCTTCACTAAACCTACTGCTGGAGGCTAAAATATTCACTAACGCCTTTTCCACTTATGCCTACTTTTAAGGACAATTTAAGTCTATCTTCTCTGGTGGATTCTTACTTCAACCTTTCTGAAGGTTACTAATACTGAACTGTCCATTCACAGTAAGTTTTGAATACAGACTATTATTCCCAGGATTTAGTACTGTGCTGAGCAGATAACTGGTTTCATTATTTCATACCTATCCTCCTTTCAAACTGGACTATGTGGCAATGCTTCCAATGGTATGGACCATGCCATTTCTCCACTCCTACATCTCAGTCCACTGGAAACCTCATAGTGCCTACATCCTTTAATCTCTCCTTCCAAGTTTGCTGGCTAAAACAAGAGCCACCTTCAACAAGTAGATATGGAAAGAGCCCTGATGACTAGATGCAAAACCAAAAAAAAAAAAGCTATTAAAAAAATCAGAAAATAAGAAGTTCTAGACATGTCTCCTAAGCTCTTAAATCATCCTGACTGCAGTGGAATTCACTGGTCAATTTCTGCATTTTTAACTTTATCAATGAAATGAATAGTAGAAATAATTTATTGAGGCAGCAATTACATAGAGCAGTGAATTTGAAGGCAGAAGACCCAAGATGAAATCCTGGCTCTGTCCCTTAGGAATCAAGATCTTGGATAAATTACTTCAGTACACAGAGCCTCAGTTTCCTCTTTGTAAAATGGGCCTATTAACGTCTACTTCACGAAACTGCAGTTAAGACAGCACAATCTTAAACTTTTATGAGCACATATAGTAGTGAACAAGTATTCAACAAATACCTGCTGAATCTAAATTTATAGGATTTGAAACGCACCTCAGACAAACTTAGGGTTTTGGTGGACTGTGATTCAATATAAACCAACAGTACTGATGACAAAGAGAAAGTGGAATCAGGATGCATTAATAGAAGTATCTTATTCATAAGAGACATACTGTGTTTTGTACCTCAAAACACATTGAGTATACTGGGTTCAGTTCTATATACAATATTTTAAAAGGAATACTGACAAAATGTAGCAGATCCAAAGTGAAATACCCAGGATACTAATGGTCTAGAATTCATATTGTGAGAACCAGTGGAAGGACTTGGGTACGTTTAGCTTAGAGAAAAGATACAAAAACTATTTTTAGAAGATAAATCTAGGGCCAAAAATTAAGTTGTATGCTAAACTGAAACCTGCTCTTTTACAAGAATTTTATTTTCTATGATTTATTAATGACATAAATACAATTTATAACACTAAGGAAAAAGTCTATTTATTATGGTTCTAATTTTAATATTCTGAGGGCTAAAATAAAATGAATACAGATCAGTTTAAAAATTGACTTTTGGGCTTCCCTGGTGGCGCAGTGGTTGAGAGTCCGCCTGCCGATGCAGGGGACACGGGTTCGTGCCCCGGTCCGGGAGGATCCCACATGCCGCGGAGCGGCTAGGCCCGTGAGCCATGGCCACTGGGCCTGCGTGTCCGGAGCCTGTGCTCCGCAACGGGAGAGGCCACAACAGTGAAAGGCCCGCGTACCGCAAAAAAGAAAAAAAAAAAAAATTGACTTTTAGGAAAATTCAATGTATTTTACTAAGCTGTCTTGTTAAGGATTTGGAGGACAAACTGCCAATTTTAAGTTCTGACTATAGGGCACCAAATTCCAGAGGCATAAGAAACAGCTTGTAGAGCCAAATTAAGGAAAACAAAACTGAAAAAAATTTTAATAAACTTACTGGATATAACAGGAAGAGTGAAACTGACAGTCTAGGCAAAAAGGCAGGTATGACTGCTGACAAGTGGATACATGTTTAAGTCAATCTGCATTCAATTTCTGTTTTTACAGGGAGATAATTTTGAAGACTCAAATTTCAGACAAATAGGCAAAGGGCAAGACTGCAGACAGTAGTCTGGGATGTTACCTACTGTACTTATACTTAGAACTTGAAATCCCTATCATACTAGAGTTCATTATATTTGTATATTCATTTCCTATTTAAAGCAAGGCCTGTGCTATTAAATTCTGACTTGTTTTCATTTCCTAAGAAAATATCCAAAGTAAGTTCACAAATAATAAGTTTTCTATTATCCTTCTTTGAATCACCCATCTTGAACTGAGAAGTTGTTCAGGGTGGGAAAACAGCGAATTCATTCCCTTTCTATAGTTTTGGCATTAAAATTCAAATTTTATAGCTATAATTCTTGTGAGATCAGAAACACAGCACTGCCGTAAACATTAAAGCTCAAATTTAACTCGTTCTCTTAAACATACATGTGTCAAATATATAAAATTTTGAGGACAGGAACACCTGGCATTTGATTAAGCATTGTCTACTTCTCAAAAATAGCTGTTATTTGAACAATGACTGAAAAATGGCTGTTGCATATTGTCAACTTTCTCTATGTTCACAAACTGTAAAACAATATACAGCTTTAAGAGCTTAGATATGATATGTTTATTAAATTAATATCAATTGATGATGTTATTAAGTTTGCAAATCCTTCCTTACTACCAAATGCTGACAGTACCTAGCATCCTTATAAAATTTTCTGCTTTGGATTATAACACTCTTTACTAATCCAAGTGCCAAAAAAGCAATTTGTTTTTTTCTCTTTTGGCACACGTCTTTCTCTCAGAAACATTCACATTATAAAATTATTCAAGATGATTAAAATTTCCCCATGAATGGCATAGGTAGACAGTAATTTACACCAGTAAATTTCCATCACAAATAAATTAAAAATAGGAGAAATTTCAGCTACATCTAGGGACTCATAAAAAAAGCATTACATTTTCATTGAAAACACAACAGATTTTATATCATTTGCCATATTGACTGCTTACCGCCCTACTGATTACAACATTCTGGTTTTATTTCCAGTACTTTTAGTCAATCCTACATTTACACTATTTATAATTCAAGAACTGACAATATTTTCTATAATGGTATAATTACATGCCATTGCTATTCTATGGCTAACTTGATAACTTGATTTCTAAAAACGATAACCAGTCCTATGTGAGAAATAGTTGTCATTTCTTTTCACTAGCTTATCTCTTGGACAGCAGGCAAATTTAATAAGTCTCCTGAATTACAAGGTAATTTATCTCCATCACTTTTGTTTACAGGACTACTAACACTGACAGCATTGAATAGTGAATTTTCTGCTTTATCTTTTGTTTCTTATTTACAAAGTCAATCGCTTAAAATTTTTGTTATTGTAGATTAAAGAGACAGAAGCAATGATATTAAGTGCTGACAATGAACCTAAAGATGTTATTTTATTTAGCACCAAATGATACATTAATTTATTTTAAATTCACATAACAGAAATATATAAAAATCAAAAAACATAGCTCAAAAAAGAAAAAGTAGGAAGAAGTGTGACTATTTCTAAATGTTTTATGTTAAGCAACAAAAGTTTAAGAGCTTAAAATTGAAAAACAAATTTGAAAAATATTTCATCTCTACTCAATTTGTAAAAATGAATCAAAAACACTATCATTATTTAATTTTTACAGTATCAAACATATGGAACACTAATACTCCACAATTTCTGGAACATCCATATTCCACAAGTGAATAGTTAAAAAAAAATCCCTCTCTTAAAAAAACAATGGGGACTTCCCTGGTGGTCCAGTGGTAAAAGAATCCATCTTCCAATGCAGGGGGCGCAGGTTCGATCCCTGGTCGGGGAACTAAGATCCCACATGCCGTGGGGCAACTAAGCCCGTGTGCCACAACTACTGAGCTTGCGGGTCTCAACTAGAGAGCCTGTGTGCTGCAAAACTACAGAGCCCACATACTCTGGAGCCTGAGTGCCACAACTAAAGAGAAAACCCGCACACCACAACTAGAGAGAAGCCCACGCGCCATAACGAAGAGCCCATGCATCGCAATGAAAGATCCCGCATGCCTCAACGAAGATCCTGTGTGCCGCAACTAAGACCCGACACAGCCAAATAAACAAACAAATAAACAAATATTAAAAAAAGAAACAATAGTGTAAAATAAACATAAAAGAGAGAAAGACGGAATACACACACAATCATGAAGAATCAATGACCACTGTCACTATGTGCCTATTCTTCTGGGTATTGTTTAATTGGAAACAACGCTATTCTAGTATCTAAGATTAAAAGTAACTCCAGGCATATTACATAGAAGAGACAAGAGTAAGCATTTCAACTATGAAATACCACAAATGACCTATTTTAAAAGATGCTGGAGAGTATCCAAGCAAGGCTGCTTGCTTAGAAATTTATAAAGGAGATGAAATGAGCTTAAGAATGTGATGTTATCTGTACTTATAAATCTGTTGGAAATTAATGATACCTATTTCTTTTTGAAAAGTGGACTGCCCTCCAGTCTACAGTAAGACTGCAATACCAACTGAAAAGATTTCTTTTTCTGAGATTTAAGTTGAAGAAAAGCTGAGCTGGCTTCCAAGGGACCAATTAAGAAAGCCAAGCCTGGATTATATAGGATTCTTTGGGGATTTGCAAATGTTTCCATTCTAGTTTTCCAGCAACAAAAATATAAAGGGAAAAAATTATAAAAAGAAGTGATCAGTGGCATTTGGTTACTATTCTTCAAACTGGCTCATTACTACAAATTTTCAATATTTAATTGATTCACACCCTAAAAACTACTTAATTGAGCTCAATGGCTGATCTATGATCATAAAGTCACTCCTTGACACATACACATTATTTAATAATAATACACATTATTACTGGGTCACTAATGCAATGGTATGAGGTAATGTAAGAGAAGCACCTGAAGCACTAGTTTTCATTTAAACAGGGCCATCCCTCAATATCAAGAACAGAAACAGTAGCAGTTGAGTTTCTTTTATTTAGAGATGTAAATTAGCTGAAGGAATACATGGAAATGAATCTTTTTGGTAACTGATTTTAGGGTCTCAAATTTAGGGAAATAAGTATCTTGTGTATTTACCATAACCTTGTTTTTGACAGTTTTTCTAGGGGTATGATATTAATTTCAGCTAACCTATTAGAATTATTCCCTTAGCATTTACAAGTTTCTCAAAAGTAAAATGAATCAGGGTAAAAATGTTTCTTATTCTAAGAGGTGTGCATGTGTATATATAAAAGGAAGGAAAAGGGATTGCCTTCCTGTTTTTCCCACCTCTTGAAGTTTAACAGCTAAATTTTAAGCACGTCACAAAGAAGTCAGAAGTGTAATCTAGTAAAATGTAAAAACAGATAAATGAAAAAAACTATTTCTCCAGTGGAGAGGACACTTCCACTTTATAAAACCATAAAATAACTGTCAATAAACCTGAATAATGATGATAATAAAAAAGACCACTACTTATTTATAAATTCCTTTGAAGGAAAAGGGTTTAAAATTATGATTCTCAGATTTAGAGATGATACAGCCTGGCTGTAAAATCCTTTCCAAAACAGAAAACTTACCCAAGGCAATGACATTATTTTTGCTCTAAAATGGACTAAATTAACATCAAACTTCAATGTGTTGGGGGTCAGGGGAGGTTAGAAAGTTGTCATTCTAGGATGGTAGAAAAAAAATTCAGAAATAAAGCAAAATATGACACCAAACAGTAACTTTTTACAGCAATGGCAGGGGGACTGTGAGTTAATACTTACAAGGTAAGAATTGCAGGGCTAAGTAGGGGGCTTGTTTTATATGGTCTTCATTTTGTTGTTATTCACCTAGGAAAAAATAAGAGGGAAGACTTAAAAAATTTGATCACATTATATACGTTAGAAAATTTTCAACTGAGGTTGACAATCATTGTTTTTTGATCCTTATATAGCACTGAACAATCACAGATTAGAAATACCTAGCAGCAGCATTTATATATTTCAGTACAGAGTACTATCATTAATTTTTTAAATTCACTTTTCTATTACTATCACCCTCTTGAAGTTTAAAAGTCAAATATGTGAGTGTTACTAAAACTCACACTTCAATATCTAACTTGGAGCACACTGAGGCTTCTGGAAGACATCATATAATTGCAGATATTTTAAGATAAATTCAGTTTCATACCTCAACATTGACCAATCTCTTTCTCTTTGTCTCACACACATACACATGAAATCTACAAATCCATATACTGCCCAATTCCAAGAATTCTACTGTAATACAGTATAAATACAAAGCTTAGATTGGAGCTTAAAATGCATGTAGAAATTTCTGAAAACAGTATGCTATGATCTATGGCCAAAATAAAAGAAAACACAGTCATGAAATTGCCTGAATTAAAGAGCAAACGAAAGAGTAGTGATAAAAAAAAGAGAAACTATTTCCATGGTTGTCCTTTCCTTATAAGAGTAGGGAGGATTAAAAGCCAGTATGCAAAGGAAGGAAACAGTATGGCTCATCTTCAAAAATAAAAGAATTTATTTAAAATTTAAAAATATCCTAGCAACGTAAGTTGGTTAGAATGTTTGATTTCTGTGGGCCATGACTGTAAGTTGTAGTTTGTACACCAACTAACAGTTAAGCACTTACTACAAGACATAGAATAGAATAAATCCAATCCACGCCCTTAATGGAGTATTCCAAGTGTATATCTTATTGTAGAATATCTTCACCAAAAAGGACAGTACATTTTTAAAACTTATTTGAAAAATAAATATTTCAAATCCACAGAAAAAATCAAGAGAATAGTAAAATGAATCCCCACATCCTACCCCTGGCCCTCCAATGCAGCTGTATTGAATTCTAATATTCTGTCATACTTTGCTTTTATTTATTTACCTTTTTTTTTTTTAAAGAAAAAAAGACTACACATATAGTTGAGTTCCTTTTGTACCATACCTTGGATCCCATTCCCCTCTCTCCTAAGACATAATTACAATCCTGAATTTGGTATTTAATTCCTATGCATCTTTTTACACTATTATTACAAATTCAAGTATTTAAAACAATATATATCATTGTTTTCAAGCTTCATATAATGTTATCATACTGTATCTAATCTTTTGCAACTTTTTTTGTTTGCTGAAGACATTCATCTGTGATGATACACATAGCTCTCATTTTAATAGCTGTATAATAAACATTTTTTATCACATGACTATGTCCCATATTTGCCATTCTCCTGTTACTTAACATTTATATTGCTTTCAATTTTTTGTCATTCTCCTGTTACTTAACATTTACATTGCTTTCAATTTTTTCCCATTAAAAGTAAAAATAAATAAGACTTTACTACAAATGTGTTAGTTTATCTAAAACATCTAGGAATGGAATTGCTGAGTTAAAGCCTAGGTATATCTTCAACTTTAGTAGGATGTTGCCACATGCTCTCACAAGCAGCATATGAAAAGTTCTCCTTTCTGTATTTTCTCCAATACATATTTAGAAGTACATTTAAGATAAATAGCTACTATCTAACTGAAAATTTAAAAAATTCTTAAGTGATCAACTCCCTCTGTTTTCATCAAGTACAGGTTAAATAGAGGTATACTAAATGTTCCAAACAAATACTTAAAATTTGGTCCAAGGTACTTGAACAAAAATAAGCTCTCATAATATAGGTTTTCTTCATATGACTGAAGAAATAGCAAGACTTAATCTAGAGCTACTGTGTTAGAAATGATAAGATTCATCATTAGTTACTGAGCTTAGAGGAAAAAAAAAAAAGCAGAAAATGTAAATGGTTTATTAGTGTGAAGAATTCTTCCCCAATTCATTCTGGGCAGTGTTCTCACATGTGGTGCTTCTAAAAAAAAAAACTCACTTAGTGTTTATAAAAAACACAAATTCCTAAGTCCAGCTCCAGAGATTCTGATTCAGCACATCTGGAAAAATGCTTTACTCTAGGTTATTCTGGTACAGGTGGTCCACAGATACTTTACACAGTAATTAGTAGTAAAAACAAGGTATTTTCAATATAAAGCATTATGTAACTCACTTTTTTGGTTAACAGTAGGTAACAGTAATTAATATGTTATCTGTTAAATTACATCAACATATTAATGAAAACACACTGTAGTATTAGGGGGAAAAAACCCATACCAACCAACCAACCAACAAAACACCCCATGGTTACCTTTTTAAAAGAATGCTATTGTAAATGTTGGACTTTAAGATGGGGCATTAGGCTTACACACTAAAAACACCATTTGTAGTTTTCCACCAAGAATGCTACAAATGAAATCAGAATTGTAACAGAAATCCAATATTTACTTCCCTTTAACTACAACATATTAGAATTTGGATACAAAAGAGGAGAAAAATATACAGATAGTATTTAGGTTATGCACATCTGTGCAAATTCAAATCATTAAAAATCAAAAACACTTTTTATACTATTTGAAATTACAGAATCCTATTTCCAAAAGATTTAGAATAATCTGAACTTTCCATATACAAAGTTCAGATATAAGACATTATTTTAATAGTGAGAAAAAGTAAAGGCTTATGTACTTTCACCTGCAGCCTGCTTTGTCTTTATACACAACACCAAGTAGTACAGGGTGTTGTTCTTTTTAGTTACAGTGAAATGAACAAAAATTTGGCCTTGTTTAGACTGGGTTATAAAATAAAGATAATATGGGGCTTAGCATATGGTCCCAAAGTGAAAGAAACACTCTTATGTGGCCATAGTCAACTTTTCTTTCCTCAAGTGTACTACCTAACTTGTGTTATCAGCAACTAACTATTAATAATTTATTCTAGGCTACCAAAGCGTGAAACATACCATAAGTACTTTCAGAATCAAGACAGTTTTCCATTCAAACAGATGGAATTAACCGAATAAAAATTAAATGAACTAAAACCAGAGTAAATAGTAAAAAACAGTAAAAGTCTAAGAACTATAAGCATCTACTGTTCTCTTTAAGCTGCTTTGGGAATAAAATACCTTTTTGTCAAAGAATGTATTCATTATACTATATATGGATTACACTGACAGTTTGGCCTCTCTCACTTGGTCTGTAAAAGCTGGTGGGTGCAGGCTCTATTGGCCACCATTACTGCATATTGATGCTATTCTGTACAATAGCTGACAAGCAGCAGCAATCTCTCAGACCCTGCTCCCAACTGTAAAGAGCAAGAACAAGGGCTGTGGTGATACTTGTTTATTCACTGTTGCTTCCACTGAAGCAGCAAGCTGAGAAAAGCATATGCAACTAACACAGAGAGGAAAAAACTGGCTCAGCTCAACCTACCTAGTAAGTCTGCTTTTCTCATTACATGATAAAATTAGTTAAGAAGGAATTTTTTCTTTAAAAAGTGGGATGGAGAGAGAAGAAAAGACAAAATTGATGTTTTGATTAGAAATGGAACCTGTAATGTATCTAAGGAAAAAAATTAATGACACATGTAATGACACTTCAGCTCCTAGTTTAGATCTAACTGCTCAATTATCAAAATTCTCAGAAGAGTTTTAACCAGGTTCAGGGTGAATTCATAAAGACTATCTTCCCTAGCCATTCTTCTGGAAAATAAGAAAGCATCTAAACTTTAATCAAGAAATGAAATTATATTATGCTTAATAAAGAGCTCCAGTCTCCCAGGTTCCACATATCTAATCACCAATATATGTTTGACATCAGACACTATTAGCAAATAAGTAAGATTTTAGCCCATAAAGTTTTTACAAAAATTCCAGCTATTAAAAAAAATTTCCACATGTAGTTAAGCTACTATGAATGTGTAATACAAAGCTAAAAACTTAGTCAGTACATATCAATTGATGACTAACAGAAATAGAAATATTTGTTCTGTCAAATTATCTTTAAACTTAAATGATTCTATTTACGGACTTATAACTTTAAATTTAAAAGAAATTCTTATTCTTTAACATTTAAGTATTTTTGATTCTGAAAAATATTTAAAAAGTCAGAAAAATTAGGAAATCTGTAAATTATTTTTTAAATGCAAGAATAGGCTGATAAACTTAAATAGCTAGTCAAGAAGGCTAGGTTTAAGATAAATAAAAGTATAAAATATAGTAATATTTACAATTCAGATAATATTTTGTTAAAAACCCCCAATCTTTAATTTTTATCAAAATTGAAAAAGTCATTTTTCTGCTTAGCAGCAGCTTAATAACAAACAATGTTAATAATAAAAATTAAAAAAAAAAAATCTGAGGATCACAGGATAACAAAATTACTAAATATATTTGTTTATTATGAAAGCTATCCAATAAAAAAGTTACAGCAAATATCAAAGAAAGATTTTTAAAAATTAAGACATTTACAAACAGTAATAAATTAATAAACGAATAACCAGTCAATTAATCAGTCTCAGCAACTACATTTGAATCAGGCTGCATGTTTCTCTTCCAAGTGACTCTAACCATGAAAATAGGAAAGTAAAACTAAGCCAAATCACATATGTTAATGAAATATCAAAAGTGTGGTTTGTGGTGCTGAGAACTGAAGTTCTACTTCAAAATGATATTAAATAAAAAAACTAAGTCCTGACATTAATTAATTATTGCCTTTTGAAAATGCTTATCTGACAATACAATTCTGATGCATTACGTCTTATCTGAAGAAAACTGAAACATTAAGGATCTATTTGCTAGTCAGAAAAAGAAAACATAAAATACACACATGTACAAAACTGCCTCAAATAAACATTTAAAATTTTTTCATTAAGAAATTGTATCTACTCTTTAATGAATCCTCAGTAACACCATAAAACCTCAAAGAAAATTTTTATAGCTGACAAACTGTTTAAAATATAA